GTCAACTGTGAATGTGGTCGAGGGATGCAGCCCTCCAGGAGCCAATTTGGAGTACATCTGATCTATCCTTTGCAGCCCAGAATATCCCATCATGCATTGCGGGCCGACGAGCATTTCATTTATTCAGGGCAGAGGCAGGTGATCCGAAAACGCAGAATTCACTTTTAAATGTAGCGTTAAGTAATAGAATTCCCTTGAAAACCTACAGATATCAATGTTAGAATATAATATATAACATCACATCTTAGTTTATGAAATTGCTTAAGTCACGTGACATTGGTAACCAATGTTGTGTTTTTAAATTCATATAAGACAAACTGCGCTTAGTTATAACGTTAACTCCGTCCTGCGGCCCTCCCCCATCCTCTCCCATACAGCCTCTGACCCAAACTGTCCCCTCACCTGAACTCTCTTTGGGTCCATGTACTGTTCTTATGAACATCAATGTACCAACACACATTTATAATAAACACAACGAGGAGCTGACGTTACCAGGAGGCGCTGTGCTGTTGCTCGTAGTTATTAGTAAGAAGGCAATTTAATGCCTCAACTGTCATTTTAGAGCCCGACCTAATGTCCCACTGAGGCTGTCCTACGTCCGCATAGGTAGTTGATACTTCATATTGTTGAGAGGATAGCATGATATGCAAAATTGATCATGCTGTTATGACTTTTTAAGGACGAAAAAGGGGACACATAACTCCGATGTTTTAATCTTATAAATAGGACCAAATACGTTTCGATAATATAATCAGCCATATCATGGAGTAGATTTACCTAGGCTTAACCTACTTGTTATAAGAGGTATAAAGTCATCCTTATTGACACACCTAATATGTGCAGGTGTTGTTTGTTTTTGTTATTTTTTATGTGCATGTCATCTAAAACTAAAATGCACAATATATATATGTGTTGAGTTATGTTTGTGTTATGGACAAAAGTGACAGCAGTTCTGTGAGAAGATGTGATGCCTAAGTGCCAGGTGGATACTTGGTAGGGGTGATTTTATATGGGGATTTTACCCTTCTGCGTGCTTTTCTGGAGACTTTTTGGTATTATAAAAAGGGACAGTTCAACCGAAGAAGAGTTTTTTATTGTCATTTTTTTTCTATGTAAGTTGTTATAATTTTGATTTTTTTTTTGTTCTGAAATAAATAAAATAAAAAAGTTCGCTCTGAGCCTTTTTGAAGATTTTCATATTGAGACCTCCGGCGAGGGGGCCGGGCAGTGAGCCCCTGGGTCAGGCTGAGGTAAATCCACTACAGACACTTGCACCCACTCACTCCACACCTCGTAACACACGGGGAGGTACAGAGACGTATGCAGGGCTTTAGTGGAGGGTAAACGCACGTAAACGCCGTTTACGCACCTCTGGAATTTTGGAAATAGCGTTTACGCACCTATAAATAGCGTTTACGCACCTATAGGTGAGTAAACGCTATTTATAAGTGGCGTTTACGCACCTCAAAGTTCCCTGCGCCTTGTATTCTTCCGTTGGAATAATCCGAAATAAACTTGGTGTAATTTTAAAACTGCTAAAACCTTACCTCACGGACCGGTCGAGAAGGTCCGACGGGGGGGGGGGTGTAGTAGTCGCGCGCTCTGTGTTCGCTGGGGGTGCACGGTAAAAGGACAAGAAAACCGCGCGCACATAATTAGGAGAAAATCCAGTCAATGTTCAAAGGCTCTGCCTCCCCTGTCACCATGAGTGGGGAGCAAAGCTGTTGCTTCACTGAATAGGCCTATATGCTTAATCAATTATTTTAGGTCATGAAAGGTGTAGAGTAGCCTGTAAGCGTTAGAAAACAAGTCAGTTCTCAATGTGAAAAAAACATGCTGTATAGGCTATTTATGATGACATAGGGTAGTACATGAGTGTTCCTTTAACTCATGTTGTCAGTGTAATTGACAGGCTGCTTAACTGGTTAACTCTTAAATTCAACATATTTTTTCAGGCAGTGAGAGGACAGGCAATGATGCAGAGAGCACAGGGAGAGGAGAAACACCAGGTCGAATAGAGAGAGAAGAAGCACAGAGGAACGCGTTCTGGGGTTCATGGCTCCTCTGTGCAAGGCAGGACCTGACGTGGAGGACAAGGAGGCCCTCTGGGCACTACTGTAAAAAGGAGACTCCGTATGTAGATAGTTCTTAATCTGCAATTGTCTTGTTGTGTTGTGTTGACATACTTTTCTTTACTGTTTTCTTAAATTTAATAAACTACAAACTACTAACACATTTATTCATTGTCATTGATTGTATATGACTTTTACTGATAACATAATGCAATATAGCCAGGACAGCCTTCGCATCGCGTCGAGGTCTGTATGATCACAAAAATTCAGAGTTTACCCACCTCTAATTTTACCACTACAGCACTGGACGTATGTCAGTCCCTTAAATACGTTCTGGGTTGTATTTGTCGTAATTGGTGACTATTGAAAATACCTGAAGAGAGTTCTCTACAGGTATTGTAGTACTGTAGTCCAAGTTGACTACAGAGGTTGAGAAAAATAATAACCTGTAGGCGGACTGGCGACCCATGCGCCGGGTTTTCTAAGCAACGCTCCCCCCGTACCCGCTTTCCTCTTTACTCGCAGTCTGGTAGAGTGGAGACATTCGCCGGTGCTGTAATGACGGGTGCACTGCGACCGGGTTTTATACACTCAGGATTTCCACTAGGATATCTCGCGAGAAGTGTTTTCTGCCTTACGAGAAGTTAAAGGGAAACACAGCCCATCCGAGTAAAATATAAATAAGGGGATCTAACTAGAATAGCGTGAGATCAGGAGCTTACAATATTCTGAACAAAAAGTGAGCTCTGGTAGACAAGTTATGAACCTTTGTCAGTAATGTGACAAAATAAATACACATTAACTGAACTTGTTTTGCTCCTTTTGTTTTGTGTGATTTATAAACTAACTTTACATTTAATCTTCTTTTATGGAGCCAAGAGGAAGCAGCATCAAGCTGAAGGAGAACAATGTGTGTGATGACATTCAGCTACTGTAGCTTGGACATATTCTGTAAAATTACGAGGAAATTCCCAACAGTAACATACTGTTATTCGTCAATACAGTTAAATATAGCAACGGTTGACGTCATGGAAGAAAATATTTTTTTAAAGCACGCTACTGCAGTATACTACTATATTCATTTTTTGGTTGACTAACTCCGCCCACTACTTGAATCAAGTGTCTTCTTATTTAGCACATTCAATGTAAAGACTTTGACTTATTTTATTCTTACATTGCACCAAGTCAAATTTCTCTATGTCTAACATATATGGAAATAAATGGCTTCTTATTCTGATCTGATCAAGACCGTGTACATCTGTAGACATCATCCATTATTATATTCAGGGTGGAAAAGTTTGAACAAAGCACTAAAGTGGACCAAGCCAGATAGCAGTCTACTCCGGGGCGGATCCGCCCTCAGTCAAACTCTGTTTTGGCTGTGCTGCAGTGCTCAGCACCACCTTGGGGGTATTCCAGAAAGCGGGTTATGTGAAAACTCAGAGTAAGTTAACCCTGATATCAGGGAAACTGAGTTATCCGTTCCAGATAGAGAGGTAACTGAAACTCTTCAATTACCATGGTAACAGACTCTGTGAACGTAACCTGCTCGCTGGCAGGTTTACTATAAGAAACCCAGAGTTTCCACCTGTCTCCTCCCACATGAAGAAAGCTGGTAGACATGAATTGCCCATTCTTACCAAATCCAATTGACATCGAAGCCTTAGTGATTCGAAAAGCTTTACGTTGCGAGAGTGTCTTCCGACCCAGATTAGACGTTTTATCATTTCCAGAGGAATTTCTGTTTGAACGCTACCGCTTTACTGGTAACTACACAGCAAAATGGACAGACTCAAATTAACACTATTGGAGTTAATTTCAACACTTTTAAAGTGTCCCATGGGGTCCACACTACACAGTGTCAATGTAACACTTTTTAAAGTGTTGCCATTTTAACACTGTTATAGAGTTAATTTTAACTCTTATATAGTTGAAATTTAACAATACTCAAGCGTTAGTTTCTCAACACCAGTGGGTAGTGTTAGAAATTAATACTCATCGGAGTCATTAATTAACTCTTATGGTGTGATGTGCATACTATAAAAGGAGTTGCCCCATTAACACTATAAAGTGTTATTGCTGCCCCCCCCCCCCACACCCACACCAAAAAAAAAAATCTTTAAATGAAATGTCAATAATTAGAAATACAAATGACAAGTTCACTACTTTAACATTTTTTTTATTTCTTCAAATGCATCAACATTACCAAATCTTTTTTCATTGCTGTACATTTATCTAAATGTAACAATAAGGCACTATGTACGCTCTTTGACTTTTGTCATTAGAGCATTGCTTGTCAAATGGTCTAAAATAAGTCAGTGCCTTCACAGATATGACAGAAAACACATTCATTTGGTCTTCTATACAGTATGCACTAAAGTGGTCATCATAGTACATTGTTTGTACATTACAGGATATTATGAAAGCATGCTGTTCATGTATTATAATATCACAGATCTTTTTGAACACAGGAAGATCATCGGTACATCCAGTGCATAAGTACAACCCAACCTGGTACTCAGTATCGTAATATCTGACCCACCTTGCACTTGTAACATTTGAACAGGCGTCCAAATGTAATGTCTAAAGCTGCCCCTGATGTGTGTGCCTTGCACGGGATTGCTTTTCGGTCGATAATAAGGTAGAACCTTTGGATATTCTTCTTTTGCTCACCGATGCAAAGGAGGAACGGTTGTTTGCGTCGACACTCTCAAGGAAGGTAGGAATACTGGCTCCTTCCTGTAGGTCAGTTAAGAGACATAAATTACTATAACATCTTGATCACATTTCTGCAGATATACAGAGCAAAACTGTCTCAGAATCCCAACATCTATTCAGGGATTCTTGGTGTAGGAACTTTTGCATACCTTTAGATATCTAACAAGATGGCTGGTTGCTTGAGCTGAACTGATCTTGGCAGTTTTTTTCTGGCCCCTTGAAGTTGGAGGGAGTAGATGCAGCAGTAAAAGGATTGAAGACATATCACTGTCCCATCCTAAAGACATAAAAAATGTATTTATTTAGTATAACACTGAAATTTATATTTAAACAGAACGTTTTATACTGACCATTGTTATCTTCAGACTCAGATTCAGTTGCTGACAGCAACTCATCCATATTCTTTGCAGTCTTGCAGTCTGTGATGTTTGGCTTGAAGAAAGTTGACCACTTGGACAGGAACTTCTGAGACACTTCGTCACCAAACATCATTGAGAATCTACAAACAAGGAAAACAATATTTTAATATACAGGTTCAAGCATACATTACAAAATTAATGAAAGGTCAATACTGAAATGGAAGATTGAAAAGAAGATTAAAGAGATTATAGTATAGTTCCGAAAAATATTATATTGTCCTGCACTGGACTATATTACTGTTCTACACTGGACAACTACAACCAAAGCAAAAAAGTTTTCTTACCAATCCAGGTACATCAAGAAAACGAGGGAACACATCCAGGACTGAAGATGATGCATCATCCCCAACCATCTTCTGTCGATACTGGAAAGTCGCTCTCGTCTTCTCTTTGACCACAGATGCATCGCTGGAATGTCTTATTGTAGATATCGCCTCCCTGCACTCCTCACCAAATAGCTGTTGGCAGGTTGACAGAGATTCTCGCCTGGTTTTTGGACCATCCTGAAGAACGGTCTTGGAACGACCCTGCAAGTCAGCAAAGGTGTTGCGTTGAACCGTCTTGATCCTCCATGAAATTAAGCCAGTATTACCCTCAGGATCATAGTAGTGTTCCTTTTTAAAGAAAGACACAAACGGAGGCATCTCATGCTTCAATTTAAGACTAAGTTACTCAACACAAAAATTGTAGACAGTGAATAGACTGCAAAACATTTTAAAAAACAGGTTGAAAATGCAAGGGTGAGCAACCTACAAAAACTCATCTGAAACAAGATGAGTACAAACTAGAAAAGTGAAGAAGATATTGAAATCACACTGATTTGGTTTTCAGATAGAACTTACATATCCAAGTTTGGAGAATGGATCACGGAGGTATGGAAAAAGAGTCACAATTCCCAGTGCATAATTGGTCCTTACACTTGACGGTGGAACCCTCCTTTAAAAATAAGTCATAGTTTACTTTTAAGCATGTATGTTTTGTAAGAATAAATACACCTTTACTACTTATACAGAACAGCATTATTTAGCTACAACACATGACATGACATAACCAAGTGACCTGCAATTCTTACCCATGTAGCTCTATCATATCTGCAACCAGGATGTTCACCATTTGTTTACGGGTTGCATCAGTTAGTATTTTAGTCTTATCATACTCATTGAAGACTTCTTCATCCTTTGGATTGGCCCTCAGAACACCCTCAACCATCTGCCAAGAAATATTAACATTGTTATGGCATGCTTACGGTAATTTAGTGTTTTTTTTAAAGAATTTAACTTTTCTAATGACATTACTTTATACTGCGAATACATTTACAAAAAAAACTAATTAATTTAGGATTTCAAATGTATTTATTCAAAGCTCTACCTGTTTTGCTTCATTCTGGTCCATTAACCCTGTTGGGTTCCTCCTTTTTCTTGTGGACTCCAGAATAACGGTGGAATCAGATGAATGGGATAAAGCTGGGGATAGTGCAGTCTGTGCCACTACCAAGGATGAATGGGATGAAGTTGGGGACAGCGATGTCAATACGGAGGAGGATGCTTGATCTGCAACCAGCTCAACATCCAGATCTACAAAATGGCAGACAGAACAAAGACAATTTAAATGTACCTATCAGTAACAAAACAATCTCAATCTTAAATAAAGCATTTAAAAAGTACTAAGCATATTATATTCTTCCTTAATTACTACCCAGTGATAGATCATATGTATTTAAGACAATGATCAGTAGTATATCAAATTATAGCATAGGTTGAGGTCTCTCAAAAATATATTTCCGACAAAACACTGTGCTTTCTACTTGACGTTGTCTGTGATACCTCATCAAACCCCTGCCTTCACATCCTTACCCATTACTGGTAAAGGGACCTTGAAGGTCAGGACACCCAACTTGACAAGCTCATCAAAGATATCTCCATCCACCTCTGTTCCTGACATATCTGTGATGGTGAACTGGCCCTCACTGAAGCTGTCTGGCTGCAGACTAAACTTGTCGTTCACTAGAAGAATAAAAAGTATTAGTATAAAGCAATAACAATATGAATTAGGCATGGAGATTTTTTTCATGTTTGGACAAAGCCATTTTGGTCATTAATATGCTAATAACACTGGTACTTTTGACCTCTTTATTCAGATAATTTTTAAATTGCACGTTCAACTACAGTGAGAACAGTAATGAATGCAAAATATACAGCCATAAACTACAAACCTTCTTGAAGGAACATATCAAATTGAAAAAATCCATCAGTCTCTGGAATTTTCACGTATTTTAGGACCCCTCCAATCTCCACTTTAGCCAACATTTCCTGTAAAATGATAAAGAATAAAACAGATTAAAACAAGTCCAAATAGGAGTCAGTCATGCCTCTCTAAAACAAGAGTTTTTAGCACATGAAAACAACATGAATTAGCACAGAAATAGTAGTCTTTGATCAAAGCCGATTAAATTTCCACTTGTCCAGCAGTTCTTTAGCTGAGTCAGTCGGTAAAATAAAAAGACCCACGTGCGCTTGTTTTAGGCATTATCATAAAATACAAGCAGAAAAGAACAGTTTAGCTAACCTCAGCACGAAGCAGAGCTGCAGAGCTTTAACGTGTAATTCTGCCTAACGTTAGTCAAACTGCAGTTTCTATGCACTTGCGCTCTTGTCAATGTCGATTTAATGCATTTAGCATGGAATAAATGCATTCGACTGTGAAGAGCTTTCCGTGCGCTGTAACTGGTGGCGTATTTCTCACGCTGAAAAAAAAGTCCGCGCTGGCTCCCCTCCAACCTTCCCGACGGTGTCTGTAACCGTAACCGCTGCACGTAGTGTCCACGCCCGGTCAGCCGTAGCGTTCAGCCCCCCCCCCCCTCTTCAAAACTTGAGCCCTGCGCGTTGAGTAACTATAAGCACAGTAAAACGTATTTGAGAAAGGAGTCCTTCAGATTAACTTTCCGATAGTAACTTCATATTAACTACAGACACTTCTGATAATCAAAATGTAATTTAGATATACATATACCCAGTCCTCGTATGAGAATATTTGCTTCCATGCAGCTAAGACGTGGGAACCGGTTCTGGCTCTTAGCTAGCCAGCTAACTAGCATTTATTTATTTGAAAGAATGTTAGCATTACTAAAGTACCGTCACGTAACTTAACGTTACATTGCCAAACTTTAAACACTCAACAGGAATTCTATTTTGCTCACAGTCAGACTCAATAGACCAGTAATCAGAAAACGTGTGAAAGTAGAAGAAACAAACTCTTGCTAACATTAGCTTGCCAACGTTAGCTTGCCAGTTACCGTACAGTAGTTTGTCCGCTCTGGGCGTAGGTTACGGTTGCTAGCTAGCTGACATTAGCCTTGCTGTAGTAAAGGCGGCAGCATAACAGTTAACCTACATTACAGCGGCTATAAATATATTACTAATGTCTAAATATATGTCCATCTGTATATAATAATAGCACTCATTAGGTTATCTAATTAACTGTTACTTACCGACACAATGCAACACGTTTTCTTCAATTTTGAACAAACTGTCCTCGAAAACGTTGTGCTGCTCGTTGCGTTCCAGTTGAGTTGTGCAGGTAAATTACTTGAATCCCGCCAGATTGTTGCTCTCACGAGATTATTGTTCGCGCGATGCCAGAGGGTAGTCACTCCTTACACCCGAGCTGAGAGACTGACGACCCATAGAGTTGGTTTTACAATAACAGTAATAACACTCCATTTTGACACCAACTCTTTTGTGGTGCAGTGTGAAATCAAACAGATTTAACAACATACAGATTTAAATCAATTCCAAATAGAGTTCGATTGACTCTATCTTTATCAACACCAGAAATTTAACTCTGGTCAATTTGCTGTGTAGGAAACATATGGACGACATTTAATTCCTACAGTTCCTCATACAGATTTAACATGGTAATGACCGAAAATCTCACGGTTGCAAGCTGTACCGTGGACGTTGATTGACCCTCCTCCTGGTGATGCCCAACCATGTTCTGTTCAAGGACCAGAATGTGTTAGTTAGCCATTATCTATGCTCATCACCTCAGTCTACATGTCAAATTCCAAATTCCACTCTAGAATGTGAATGGGCAGAGCACTGCCAGTAGCTAATATTAAGACACACTTCAGTAGGCCCCTCCGGATCGCTCCCTGTGGCAGCAGACAGCGTTTCCTCCTCCTGATCATCATCCTCCTGTGATGCAGGAAAAGATACTGTTTCTGTATACTTTTAACTACCATCTGAGGCAAGATCTGAGTATCTGCAGGGTTTACAACTGTGCAGATGACATAATCCACAACTGCTAGGTGGGTGGATATATACACACACACACACACACACACACACACACTACTGTTCAAAAGTAATAACATTAAATTAATCAGAAATACACTCTATACATTGTTAATGTGGTAAATGACTATTCTAGGTGGAAATATCTGGTTTTTAATGAAATATCTACATCTGTGTATAGAGGCCCATTTCCAGCAACTATCACTCCAGTCTTCTAAAGGTACATTGTGTTCGCTAATTGTCTACATTTCCACAGATTACTTCAACAAATAAACAGCAAGAATGCCAAAGGTCTGCAATGCTGTAATTGCTGCAAATGGAGCATTCTTTGATGAAAGCAAAGTTTGAAGAACAAAATTAATATTTCAAATAAGAATCATTTCTAATCTTGTCAATGTCTTGACTATATTTTCCATAATTTTTTCCAACTCATTTGATAAATAAAAGTGTGAGTTTTCACGGAAAACACAAAATTGTCTGGGTGACCCCAAACCTTTGAACGGTAGTGTGTATATATTAGTTTAATTTTTTTTAAAGAAGTGTATACTTCTGCATCTGATTTAGGCACTTGTGTCCTGGGGGGTGACAGGCTCGGATTTGCTTCCCCTAGGGTTTCCTTCAGCCACCGGGCGACCACTGTTTAGGCTGAGGACCAGCTCCTCCGCCTCTGTCAGAGGTGGTGGAGGTGGCGGTCCACCAGTTTTTCGGGTCTCTGCCTTCTTTCTGTTGGCTGAAGAGAACTCAATGTTTCTTTGTTTTTTAGTTAGTATTTTAATGAGTGTTGGTGTAGGCTACAGTGTCACATTTTAAATGACTTCGATAGGTATAAAATAAAAATGTGTCTGTAAGTGTTGCTCTTTTATTTTCTGTTGTTGTGGGGACTCGTGGTATCGGGGCTCCATTGATGATGGCTTTTTATAATCGTCATGCACGCGCTTAACTCAATGGTAAATGGACTGTACTATAGTGCTTTTCTAGTCTTCCAACCACTCAAAGAGCTTTAACACTACATGATATCATTCACCCATTGACACTCATTCATACACTGATGACAGGAGAGCCATACACAGTGACACCTGCACATCAGTAACTAACATTCACACACTGTAGTCAGGAGCAATGTTGGGTGTCTTTCCCAAGGACACATTGACATGCGGGTTAGCCAGGCCTGGGATCGAACCGACAACCCTCTGATTGGAGGACAACCGTGCTCCCCACTCACCCACAGTCGCCCCCACTCAAGGTGAACATGCTCAGAGTTGATTGAACTAATGCAGATCAGCTGTTCTGGAACCAGATACTCAGAGTTTCCCATCTCAGAGTAAGTCAACTCGGAGTTCAGGGATAGACTCAGAGTTTGTTGAACCTCCTTTCTGGAATACCCCCCTGCTCCTTCACCTCGCCATCAAACAGCGCAGCGGACACCGTAGTCCATCCTGTCCCTTTGGTTCACTGAACAAGGTAACGTGGATATTATCACTGGCAGCATTACTGTTGTGAGATGCATATAATGGCAAAATGTTATAACACTGTCTTGTGCTAAAGCCATGTCTCAAGTGTCTATATTTGACCCTGATGTGCAAAAGCAGAAAAGATTTAAGGTTTCCATATGCAGCTATGTCTGAAGAAGGGGGTTAACTTGCTCTCACAGGCGCTCGAACAAAGCAACAGTGTGTGTTACCCTCATCTTCACCTGGGTTCTTATCTCAACCTGATTTGCAGCTTCTCTTAACTGCCACTGAGGATGGCCTTCACATGTGTATAAAAAACGCCATTACACCGAACGCTGAAATACGTGCTTGTGTGTTCGACCTCCTGCTTATAAGCAATAGTTAGAGCGCAGAATTGCTCATGTAATCTATTTCTCTTCGAAATAAATGTTAACTTTTTGACTTTAATTGATCAACGTGTTGCCATCCTTCTCATCAACCAACTCTGGGGGATCGGAGATCCTGACAATTTGGGGGCTTGTCCGGGGTGAGAGGTTTTCCTGAAAAGGCGAATTCGATCCAAAACGTTTATACCTGCTGAACGCAACGTACTCCCAGGCCGGCCTTAAAACAAGGTAAGCAGAATCAGAATCAGTATCAAGGGATCTAGAATCCGGCATGAAATAAGGGAATTGATTTGGAGTCATTATCCTGGTCTTTGGTTTGGCAACCTCCTCAGACCCTGACGAGGGCTGAGCAGAGCAGAGTGCGGTCCTCAGGATCGGGGAGGAGATGCCGGAAGGCAGCTGGTGCGATCGCTGGGCCGGTCGGGGATCCGGAGCACAGGGGCAGAGGTGCCGGGCAGTCCAAGGAGCAGGCAACAGAAACCCGAGGCGCTCAGGCAAGACTCGTGGTCGGGGACAGAAGGCTGACGTGCTCACCGGGGCGGAGACAGGCGAACGGGTCGGGAACAGGCAGGGTCGAAACCGGGAGATCAGTCCAAGGTAGAGTGCGGGAGAGACTTGCATGACGCGAAGAACAATCTGGCAATGACAGGCTGGGTGTGCAGTGCTTATGTAGCGGGGCTGATTGTGAATGCGAAGCAGGTGTGGAAGGCAGGAGAGTGACTGATTGTGGATGCGGGGCAGGTGTGGACGATCGAGCAGGCAGGTGAGTGTGACAGGAACGGTTCTGCATTGCAATGACAATGGACAAATGGTCAGTGGGTAGTGCAGCCACTGCAGCAACAACAACAATATGCAGACATTTACTGGGGCCTCTTGAAGCCTGAGTGTCCTGAAGTCCCAGGGGTTATGACTCTTTAGCAAAACTGGAAGTCTTGGATAACTCTTCTTGATCCGTATGTTCCTCCTCCAGATCCCCCTCATGTAACATAGTTTTATGATAGACAAGGGGATGAGTGCTATTGTGACGAATTCACTGGAACATTTAGAAAATACGGAGTGGGAGGTGACGTCCCAAAACCTCTATATGGGCCTGGAAGGGGGTAGCCACAGCTGTCATCCTCTCCCCCGATCAATCAAAATGGTATTTAATGAATCAAGATGCAGTGCCGCATGTGATGCTCTGCATCCCAAACATCAGGCTAAAGACTTCGGTCTAATGACAAAAGGGCGATGCTGCTAGACGACTGCCTGATGTTTGTTTTTCTGCCTCCGCTAGAATGTACAGAATTACAGGCAAAGCGACTATTCTTTTTTTTCTTCTTTCTCGACTCTATTCCTCTATTTAAATCACACTAAGTAGTCACATTATGATCTTCCGGACCTTTGCTTCTTGAAATTCTCTCTAACTGGACCTCTTCACATTTTAGTTGAATACCCCTGATCTAATCAGAGAAACACTAGTTTTTCCACTCTCTACTTTTCTGTAGTCCTCTCACTGACGAAAGTTTTCTATCACCTCTATCCAGCCTGCGCGTGTAACAGCTGTTGCTTCCCTGAGAACCCAAACAGTTTCCAAAAATTCTCAATCGGCCGAGAAGACCATTAAACCTTCTTCCTATCAGGCCTTTGAACGAATGAGCCCTGTTTTCTCTCAATCAACTCCCGTAAGACGATCAGAGTAGGACTATATCCGAGCTGAAGTTAAATCAGCACGTGTCATAGTTTTTTTACAATATTGTTTAACGAGTAGTTGTGTTAGTTAATGAACTGGCCCGCTTAATTATGTACTGTGTGTATATCTTTCTTTCACATGTTGTGCATATGAACTGTGATAACAGGCTGGAGCAAGTAGTCAATTCTTTTAAAATATAATGCCATGAGACTTGATTTATCGTTTTGTAACTAGTCCCCTTTTGCTCAGGGGGTGCCCTGTTATTTATCTATTTTGTGAATTAGTTTAGTGATTGATAATTCCATATCGTTAATGATTTAGTTTTAGCTAATTACTAGACATGCTCCTACATGATCCCAACACTCTCTATGGTCACTATGCTAAATTGTAGTAGGATTCCTAGAAGGTAATTGACAGAGTACAATGTCCCAAAATATGGTTTAGTTATGCTTGAAACTGAAGTTTGTAAATGGACTGTACGTCTATCCTTTTTAGTTTTTCAAATCCTCAGAGCTCTTTAATACTACGTGTCTTCATTCACACTGTGGTGTATTGGGAATAGCAGGGACACTCCACACCAGCAGGGGGTGCTATGCAATCGTATTTAGTAGATGTATGCATGACGAAATAACCAAACATTATTCATCCTAATAATTTATATAACAAGCTCAAGTCAATGTATACACATCACTTAATATTTACTACTCCCACCCGGTGTTTATCTACTGTGCTGGCATTAGCCTCACCGAGAGGCTAATACGAGAGTCCTCCGTGCTGCTTCAGATTTCATCTAAATTAAATTTAATGTACCACTGTAACTCATCATGTATTATTATGTGTTACCATAATGTATGAGGGCTAAATTCTGACTGAATCTAGCAATTAATCTAGCTATTCCCTATAAATAAAGAGCCATTAACCTTCTCTTAATGTCAGCCATGTGTGTAGATCCCCCATCACCAGTTGGCTGAGCCGTAGTTGTACAAGAAGTGCCTGACTGTGACGCACAAACAAGAGGGACATAGTCAACACTGTGTGACCGCTCACAAAATGTTC